TACCCATCCCTAGTCTGGACCCCATTAAAAAGAATAAAAAAATAAATTTCATTTGAATGATGGTTATTTAAGATAATTACAAAAATAATATTTTTTAAAAGTTAACATCCCGGATCTTTAAAACTACATACATACATACATCAGTACTAAACCACATACATACATACATACATCATACATTTTTAAAACCATACATTTAATGTATGGTTTTATGATGTAACTTCAGACCTGACTCTTTTAAAACACCGGATCTACCCATCCCTAGTCTGGACCCCTTTAAAAAGAATAAAAAACTAAATTTCAGTTGAATGATGGTATTTAAGATAATTACAAAAACAATATTTTTTAAAAGTTAACATCCCGGATCTTTAAAACCACATACATACATACATATATACATCATTACAAAACCACATACCCATACATACATCATACATCTTTAAAACCATACATTTAATGTATGGTTTTATGATGTAACTCCAGACCCGACTCTTTTAAAACACCGGATCTACCCATCCTTCGTCTGGACCTCATTAAAAAGAATAAAAAAATAAATTTCAGTTGAATGATGATATTTAAGATAATTACAAAAACAATATTTTTTAAAAGTTAACATCCCGGATCTTTAAGACCACATACATACATACATACATACATACATACATATATCAGTACAAAACCACATCCCCCCCCATACATACATCATACATATTTAAAACCATACATTTCCGAACCTATGTTTATAGAAACTTTTTTCTTTTTTGATCCGTAATCGCTCCCTGAAATTTGGCCGTACATTTTTCGAACATTCTGTATAACATTTGTGAAATATACGTGCATCTGTAGAGATTTGTTAATAACTTTTTTATCGACAAAAGAAAATTGTGTGAGAATTGCAAAAATAGAAAATCCACGACGGGGAATACATTCCATAACAAATTTATGGGCAAAACAGTGATTTTGACGTATACTCTGAAACTTCGTTAAAAAATTTCAAAGCTCTATTTTCTTCGGCGAAAAAATCCAAAGTTACTGGGCTAAAAGGGCAGCAGAGCTCCGCTTTTAAGGATATCTCGACTGCGCAGTGCGCGGGTTCGTTGAACTAGATTTAATTATACCAAACACTTTACTACAACTAATTTAGATAGGCATCGCCTTTGAATCGAATTTTACGCTAACGTTACCACTAACTTGTCTTTTTTAATTCTTAAATCTTTTTGTGTACTTATCCACGAGCTAGACGCGCGCCGTTCGTAACTGGATTATTTATTTATAGCTTTTTGCTAACTGTTAATAGTTTTGCAGAAGCGGTTTTAATGTCTAAGGTTTTAATATATTTTTTTATTCGATCGCTAGAGTTCAATATTAAAATTTTAATATTAATATTTATTTAAAACTAGTATTTTTTCGAATTATTATTCAATTAAGCTTTTCAGTGATTTTTGAGTAATTTTTAAATAAAAACGGTTTAAATCAAATACCGTATGATCGAATAAAAACGGCGTCAGCGATGGCTATGAAATGAAGGTCGCTGTCATTTTGTATGTAAAATTATATGGGAAATGTCATCGATCCTCATTTCCAAGCCATCTGGACGCCGTTTTCATACGGTATCTTATTATCTAATTAAAGGCGGATTCTCACTAGAGTTTCCGGAACCGGGGTTGTTTTTCGAAACCAGGAATTTCGGTACCACGCCTCCAAGGAACTTGAGTTTCCCCATTTTCTCGGTACTTTCGGTACTAGCTAATTTTTGTTCAGTGATAGTTTATCGATCAAGCACGGGATGGTTTTCAAAAATAAAATCGAAAAAAATTGAGTTTTTAACTCGGTTTTTAATAAAAATAACATCAAATTTTATTAAGTCATAATAAAATTAACATGATAACAACCACATTCACAACATAAACCATCTTAAAAAAATTTGAATAAAAACAGTTAATTCATATTAGCAGATAGCTTGTGAGATATAGGTAGTTATGCTAACTTACTTTTTTTAAGTACGTTTTGAGTACCGCGATATGGAACTTTTAATATATATTTTTTTGTTCTGAGCACTTGTAGATTGTGGGGGGGCAACTTAATCACCGATCACCGCGACCTACCGGGTGTTTTTCAAAAGTGGCTCACCCCTATAACTTTTTTATTTTCTCAAATAAGTAAACGAGATTTGGTATGGTAGTATATGGACGTAAATTAGAATTGATTGACGTATTCAATTATTGTTTTCGGTCACTTGCTGTTTCACCGGAAATGACTACAAATACTACTTTTAATTTTTAAATGACACCCTCGGCATTGTTCGGCACCTGGCATAAAACCATAGAAAAATATACCCTGAATAGAATGACATAATACGAGTATCATATGTCAACGATTGTCGCTTAAAAAAATCGTATTCTAAATGTCAATCTACGCTGTGTTAAAAACACTAATTTTAAATTAAGGAGTTTTGAAAAAATAGATTTGATCGTCTAAAGTTTTTCGTGTCTTGTTTTGGCCTGTTAAAAGGTGCCCAAATCGTATTTTTAATCATAACTCAATTTTTTCAAATGAAACAAAGGTGGCTCATGAGCATATTTGGAAAAGGTGTTTTTTACGAATAATTTGGTGCCACACACTTGGTATGTTGAGTCAAATTGTCGTTACATTTATGGCCATGGCACTGTAAATTGAAATTTAAAATAGGATTTTTTAACTGACATATGATCTGTCATTCTATTCAGAATGTCATTTTCAATCAAATGAAGTAAAAAAAATACCGAGGGTGTCATTTTTTTTAAAAGTTGTAGTCATTTAAGGTTTGGATTGGTTTGGTTTTGATTTAGTAGTAGTAATTTCCGGTGAAAAAGGAAGTGACCGAAAACAAGTGAATACGTTAGTCATTACCTAATTTATGTTATATAGTAACATACAAAATCTTGTTTTTATCTGAAAAAATAAAAAAGTTATAGAGGAAAGCACTTTTGAAAAACACCCGGTATTGTATCCCCTGTTCATGAGTTATATAACTCAACATACATTAGTCTTAGGGCTTTGAGAAAAGCCAGTAACTGAGACGAATTTTGTACTCCGGAAAATCCTTTCAAAATCTAAAATAAAAAAAGTAGGCCCATATTTAAAAAAAATAAATTAACCTATGTATCTCTCAAATTAATTTGATAATATAAAAACGACTGGAAAATTTATGCCTCATTTTAACTATTACGGGTTCCGAGATACCAATGCAATGCTCGTACCCAAAATTTATAGCAGTTATGCATTGTAAAAGCACTGAAAAAAGCCAAGCTTTTGATTAAGTAGATCTATAAGCACCCGGTAGATCTATAAGGTCGCGGTGATCGGTGATTAAGTTCTCCCTCCTATACAATCTACAAGTGCACAAAACAAAAAAAATATATTAAAAAGTGATTCTTTCCTCTTTATATTTTAAAAGTCTAAAGGAAGAATCATCTAAAAGAGTAAAGAGAAGAATCTTGTGACTATGACTCCTTGATTGGTCTCTTGGTAATCCGTTTTTCAGATATACTAGTAAGTTTTCGGTTCAATAAATATATTTTTACATTTTAATTATCAAGTTCTCAAAGACAATGATATTAAATAAAGCCGATTAAGTTTTATAACACATTAGTTTAGTTCTTTATGTTTAGATATTAATATTTTTTATTATTTCAAAGTAAATGAACCTTTTTATGGTAAAACGTAAAGTTTATTTGTAATTAGCCCATTTTTTTAATAATTACTAGAGCAATATCTAGTTAGGTATTACACCAATGTCAATTTATTTACTTAATTAGAAAGTTTTTATAGAATTATTACCACCAATAAAATATAATTAAATATTAGTTTATGTAGCCGACTATTATACGATACAAAAGACAAATAGGTAACGCTGGCATTGTATTATTTTAAATCCATAGATACGAAACCTTACAAAAATACACATACGGATACGGGAGGAATTCTATATTTTGGTATTTGTGGTTTAGAGAACTGAAGGGGGAGTTTATTTTAAATATGGCACCTAGGAGTTTCAAAGAAAGAAGTCATTTGGATATACACTCAGATGCAAAAAAATGCAATGAAAATTTTTTTCCTGAAATTTAAATTGGTAAATTTCTTTTATTTTTAATTCTATTTTCATGAATAACTGTATAAAAATAAATCAGCTTTAATACTTAAACTTAATTTTTTATAAATTTAAACTAATAACTGTATATTGAAATTTAAAAACGTTAAAGAGTTACAATACAGTCATAGATTTAATAATCATTAATAGAATTAAGGATATTAAAAAAATATAACTAATAACTAAATATACAAAGAGAAAAAAACTTGTATAGATAACCTAAAACCTAATACTTTATATGGCCTCCCCTGGCTGCTATAACTGCTTGTAGACGTCGATCCATACTGTTAATGAAGCAGCAAATATCATTTTGTGATATGTTTTCCCATTCTTCTTCAAGGGAAATTCATTTATTGAAAACGTGTTCTATAGGGTTTAGATCTCGCCACTTAGACACACTGGCCAATTCATTTTGTTGATACCAACTTCTTCTGACACACATTGCTACTTCGTCATATTGAAAAATATCATCAAAAAGTAATGAGTGAAAAAAATTCAAATTGGTGGCAAGTTCATGTCACTCTTAAAAATTAAAAATTAACCAAGACATGTGTTGACTTGAGCCAAAAAAAGAAAATGTTGAGAAGACATGGTTCTGACCGAAAAATAATGTTTTAGCAAAATTTTCTCACGAAATTATTGCACGGGGTGTTTCAAAGTTAGGATAAAAAACAATTCTTTTATTAACCCCTTAGTTTATAAAAAACTGAGTTTAAGAGAATTGAAGTTGATATATTTATATACAGTTTGTTAAGAAAAATCATGAAAAAAGGGCTGACAATAAAAAAACACACTCGACAGATATATGCAGTATTCTTATATAAATTTAAATATCCGAATTAGGTATATAAATATTAAATTTTTGTTTCAGGAAGAAGACGAAGGATATCATCGTATCACAAGAAATACCCGCCTCCTTGGCATTTTTTAGTGTTACACTTAGTTCTAGTTTCATCTTTAGTTAGTATAGTAGGTAAGTTATCCAAAAGAAGTAGTACTTTTTTAGTTATTTTTGTATAATTTAATGCTAGTCTAATTGTCTAATTGGGACAATTTTGAAACTATATTTTACATTTTTTATTAGATCATATCTAATTAGTTGTGCTAAGATAGACGCTTGAAACAATGTTTGTATATACAGGGTGGCCCATCGAAAACGTTCCGCAAGGCATAACGGCCAGGGTAATTTTTTTTTCAAAATATCTAAAAACACGTCAATTTTGTTTGTGAGGGGGACAACTTTTGCCCCAAAAATTATTGCAAAATCTTCAACCCTCTAAGCGGGGGTGTCATCCCCCAACTTTTTTTAAATGGGAAGGGGTGTCAAGTGGCACCGCAATGAAAAGAGCTTTCTATTCTCTATATTTCCCCGCCTCGTTTTTGAAAATCGGTCAAGTCATTGAGTAAATATGAAGGATTGAAATTTGAAAAGTTTATTTAAACATTTATCAGAATAAAGGATAAGGATAAATTCCTTCGACCAATTTGAGGTTTTTTCTTATTATTTCCAGATGTTTACGCATTTTTTCACTTGCCACAAGGTTGAACGATCAGGTGTGGTAGTTGGTAGAGAGCTGTTCTGTGACTTATGCGTTAAAGTTCTTCTCAATATCGTTAAACTTTTTTACAATTATGGTGTACTCACTTGCAGGAAAAGTGGAAATAATCGACCTTTATTTTAAAAATAATGAATGTGGCAATCGGGTTGCGCAGATATTCAATGAACGCCATCCTGACAAACACCTTTATGGCAAAATTGTTCGCGAGTTAGTAGCAAAATTTCGCAACTCTGGTTCCGTTATGAATAAAAAGAGACAGAGGGAAAATCCTGTAGTAAATGAAGCTATGGAGGTATTCGTATTGGGCCAAGTTGCCATGGATAGTACGCTGAGTACAAGAAAATTAGCCAGTGAGACCGGCCTGAATCGTACAAGTGTCCAAAGGATATTAAAAAAAACCGTTCCACAAAAAAAAGTTCCACCCGTACAAAATTCAGTTGGTACAAGAACTCAACGAAGACGATTTTGATCGTTGCTTGCAATTTTGTGAAACTATGAGTGAACGAGTGGCATGATAATAATTTCCTATTTAATTTGTGTTTTTTCGGATGAGTGTACTTTCTTTTTGAACGTTTTTTGTGTCGTTAATCGGTACAACTGTCGGTACTGGGCTGAGGACAACCCCAGGGTTTTTCACGAGGTGCACACACAAAACCCTCAGAAATTGAACGTGTGGGCTGGTATTTTTGGAAATTCTATTATGGGTCGGTTTAACGATATTGAGGACTTCAACGCACAAGTCACAGAACAGCTATCTAACAACTACCGCACCTGATCGTTCAACCTTGTGGTGTGCTTGTGGCAAGTGAAAAAATGCGTAAACATCTAGAAATAATAAGAAAAAACCTCAGATTGGTCGAAGGAATTTATCCTTATCATTTATTCTGATAAATGTTTAAATAACCTTTTTTCAACTTTTCAAATCCTTCATATTTTCTCAATGACTTGACCGATTTTCAAAAACGAGGCGGGGAAATATAGAGAATTGAAAGCTCTTTTCATTGCGGTGCCACTTGACACCCCTTCCCATTTAAAAAAAGTTGGGGGATGACACCCCCGCTTATAGGGTTGAAGATTTTGCAATTATTTTTGGGGCAAAAGTTGTCCCCCTCACAAACAAAATTGACGTGTTTTTGGATATTTTGGAAAAAAAATACCCTGGCCGTTACACCTTGCGGAACGTTTTCGATGGGCCACCCTGTAAGTACCGTATAATCGAATAAAAACGGCGTCAGCGATGGCTCTGAAATGAAGATCGCTGTCATTTTATATGTAAAATTATATAGGAAATGTCATCGATCGTCACTTCATAGCCATCGCTGACGCCGTTTTTATTCGATTATACGGTACCAGGTGGTGCATCGTCGTTGGAAACAGGATGTAAAAAATCCCATGCAAAAAAGGCACCAACCAAAATTTTTATTTTATTATTTATATTTCATGATTTCCAGTTCTTGTCATTTTATACTGTTGATATATTTATCTTCGTGAATTCTATAATTACAGAGCACTATTATAGCAAAGGTGGACAGACGTATTTTTTGAAAAATTGAAAAATAAATACGTCTTATTTATTTATTATGGGAAAAATCAATTTTTTCCAGACTATATCATTAACTAAATATTTTTATTCTTCACAGAACGTACTTTGTATGATATATCATTAGCTCACCTTAGACCAATTGAAAAGTCTACACAATGCTTGTTATCGAATAACGAGGCGATTTATTATTTAGAAAAAGGAAACGCGCTAACTGGTGAAGTAATATTAAATTTTTATTAAAAATATAAGGGGATAAATCGATTTTTTACTTAACGTTCTATGGAATTGGATAGTTTTCTAAAACGCACTGGCTAAACAACCGCCGGAGGTATTGTTAGTGTATATGTTACAGTGAAAGTCGGAAATTCAGTGATTGTTAACATTCGCTAGGAAATGCTAACAATTACCAATTATTGGACCAGTGAATGTCGTATTTTAAAGAAATTTGTCGACTTTTACTAGTAATTTCTAACATTCACTAGTGAAAGTAACATTTACTAAAGGTTGTCAGTAAAAGTTATTCTATTTTACAAGGTGAATGTGGTGAGGAAGAGCGTTGGTGGTTAGAACAATTGAATATTGGATCACCTTAATATTCAAACTAATCCACATATCTTAAAAGTCACAACTTTTTCTCTGGCATGTTTAACTCTTGTTATGATTTGGGAGAGTTTATTTTGCATTAATTTTTCACAGAAAATTTCTTCCATTTAAGGAAAATACCGCACAGCACTTTTTACAACAATACCAAAACATAAACGCAAAAAACAAAGCGAATTTGAGCCGAATCGCGGTACTTACGTTAATAAATACAATAATACATAAAATCTGGTAAAATAAGGGCGGTATATATTTAGCAAAAACTGCCTTATGTGAAAAATTTACCTCGTTATTCGGCGGTACCATCATCATCATTTTCAGCTTATTCAACCATTTCCAATTATGGTGTAGCCTCCCTCACATATTTTGATAATATCTTTGTTGCCTATTGTTGGTTATGCGGGCACAAGTTATCCTTGCTAATTTTCTAATATCATGGTCCAATTTCAGGTTTAGTCTTCTTCCCTCTTATGCTGTAATTTTTGTGGTCCATCTGTTGTCCGTCCTTCTTACCAGGTGTCCTGTCCATTGCTCTTTGGGGGATTTGATTCTGTGGATGACATCTATTCCCTGAGAGTTTTCGGCGGTATACATGTTAATAAATATCTAAAACCGTCTAACGGCGATCTTTCTTTCGTCAATTGTCGATGCCGCCGGCGGTAGTTTAGCCAGTTCGTTTCTAATAACAATATTGTCAGACGGTGGGGTCTTGATAACTTAATAAAGACCAGCATCTCTAAAAGGATCTATACCTCTCGATACGATACGAAATAACAATCAGTAAACAAGATAAAGATCGAGTCGATCCTTCGACGAATTGTCGTTTTAACATACCATCGCGACTGCCATTAATATGCTTATTTGGGACCACTACCATTAAACAGTTTTTTAAGATACTTCGCCTTTGGTGGACAGCATCAGTAGAATGTATTTTTGTACTCTTTCTCGTATATTGACTATTCTTAATAGAAACAATTAACGGGAATACACTAAACTTCCGTATGATCAAAAAAAAAAACTGCGTCAAAGACGGTTGACAACTGATGATAATTTCAAATGAAATCAATCTCTTGACGTCATTTACTAAAAATAAAACTTAATACTAATTATAGAAACATTATATAACACTAATTATAGAATGCAAATAATTATAATAAATGGAGATTGTATTATTTAACAGAGTTGGCTTTATATTTACAGAACCTACATGATATAAACCATAATATAATATACTTACCCTTACATTATAAAAAACCCTAATCACCCACGCTCTGAGACTTTCTCCTCAACTGTTCTTCATCTTTCCTCGTAACTACATTTTCAAACGAATACTTAGCGTATCTTTTAAGCTTTTAAGAAGTCACGTGGCGTGGGGTCATTTTTACTAAATATATTAAATTTACACAAGTTTTGTGAATATGTCTAGACACATACAATTTTACTACAAGATTGTATTTCTGATTTAAATTTATTTTTTAAACTCACAAGACTCATTGTGAAAATAATATCGTTTTGTAATAATCATTTAATATTAATAAACTGTTTTGCAAAATTACATTTTTTTGTGAAATTATGTAAAAATATCTTATTTTTACAAGTTTATTATTAAAAATACTATAATATATCAATATTTATTTTTGTAAAATTACTTACATTTTTTTCAGTGCACACTATTTAAAAATCATTTTTACTCAATATAAAAATACCAACAACCTTTTTACGGCCAACTGGCAGTAAGCGCCAGACCTCGCCGAAATTATCATCGATTGTCATTTTCCAGCCTCTTTGACGCCGTTTTTTCGATCGTATGGTATTTTTTTGTAAAATGGTACTAGGTTAGAATACAAACGATAGTTACCTAACCTATCTAACAGATTAGAGACAGTTTTAATATTTTGCTATTCGCCTGATTTTTCTGATGTCTCTTTTACATATGGAATAGTTAAGAATAGTTCTCCATCTCCGATATCAGTCGTAGATCCAAAGTTCGTGGCACGAATGGTTGTCGTCTCGGCGCACTCAGTGATGATATGTTCTGGTGTTTGGTTTGGAATCTGTATGTTTCTTAGCTTCAATCTACTGAAGTGTTTGTTGAGGAGACAGTGTCCTGTTAAAAAAACCGTGACAGTCCCAAGATTGTTCTTACTTACACTGCTGCATACTGTAAATACAAATGTGCTCAGTGGCATGTTTGATGGTCAATATCGGGAAAGGAAAAGATTCTGCGGTGGCGCTCCGCCACGTTAGGGAAAATTTATTGACCACGGCATA